TAATCTTTGTAAATACAAAAAGGAAAAAAAAAGCTGTTTACGCATTTCCAGGTAAGGATCAATCCTGCTGAAAAAAAATAGTGAGCGTCCTCTGAGAATATATTTAGGAATCCTCTCCCCACCACATTTCCAAGGACGAACCGACGGTGGTAGGCTCACATAATCATAAACTCCCTATAATGAATTTTTCCGTTTCGTGTTCCCTCTGACAATTGGGAGCCAATGGCACTAAATTCGGGGCTTGGGACATTTCCCAAGTGTTTGACTCCAAACGGTGAACACGTGCATAAAAATCCCACATCCATTCTTTCCGCATCGGTGCCCTCTTTCAGTTCGACATTCCCGACCGCCCACAATAGAAATACATTCCGACCTTTTCGCTTCTTGCACCCTATGTCGCTCTTTTTTTTATGTTTTCATCCAGTTTTGAAGTCGCTATCTTTCTCTTAAATGTTTTTTCTGATCTGCTAAAAAGTGGACGACCAAAAGGGTTTGTTTTTTAGCCAATCCCTCTCATTCTCTCTCTCTCTCTCTCTCTCTCTCTCTCTCGCTTATATATATATATATATATATATATATATATATATATTGTGTTTATAGAAGAGTTACTTTTCAAACAGTCGTAAGTAGGAGAAATAGCTCAAAATTAATAAAAAAAAAAGGGGAAAAACTTGTTTGTATCTCTTATCCTAAATTTATAGTCAGATGTGGCCTTTTCTCTTTTTGTGTGACGTCAAACTGAAAATTCCGCTCCAATTCAATAAAAATGGTGTACATTTCAACCTACACTTTTAACACTGTCAATTAGGTACCTCCTCTAATTTTTAACACTGTAAATTATGCACCTCCATTAATTTTTAACGCTGTACATTAGGTACCTCCACTAATTCGGTATACGTAAGGTTTAAAAAGAATTTAATTTTTTTTTTCTTTATACAACGAGATTCACCCTTTACAAGTTCCGGGGGCCACTCGAGGTAGAGGATTACCTTTGGAGGCCATTTGGGTGTAAGAGTGGAAGATAACCCTAGCCTTGAACAGGTTAAGATTATAGTGATTTGGGGAAAAATCTGTTGGAAGTCGGTTTTATAGGGCAGTGGTTCGCGGGAAGAGGCTGCTCAAGTGGAACTTACTTCTCACCGATGGAATACGGAGGAAATGTGGGTGGTTTTACTACTATGTAAGTGGCATGGCGTGTTCTTATTTTGAAGGTTTGCCTCGGCAGGACAAGGAAATGTAGTTCGTTCGAGCACTTTCTGTGGACGTAGCGGTAGAGCAGTGATAGGTTTGCCATATCCTGCCTATGGGAGAGAGGCTAGAGGGTGGAAAATAGTTCGCCACCCACAAGGGTTTGGAGACGCTTTTGAACCCTATCAAGGCTGTAGATATTATATGGGCAATTCCTGCTCAAATATGGCGACAGTGCTTCATTTTTGGCCTAATCTGGCTCTTGTAAAGCAGGAGGGGGTCAGGTACTTACTAGAGCGGTACAGAGAACCAACCATTTTACCTGTATCGTATGTACGAGTTCAACTTGAGTGGTGTGAGTTTGAGGCCCAACGGTTTTTCAAGGCACGGTGCTTCTCCGAGAGGACCTCCGTTCATCCAGATTGGTGGTAGTTCGGTGTCAGATCGGTGATGACGGAATGTAACTAGCTTGGTCTTCGAGACATTGAATGTAAACAGCCAGATTTTTACCCCTTTGGGTAGTTTGTTCAAGATCGGAAGAGAGATCAGTCGCCAATCTCTGACCATCGAGAGTTTTAGAGGTGCACCAGTAGATAGTCGTATCATCGACATAGATTTTTGCAAATGATCTGTGTATATTCTTAGGTAGATCATTTATGTAGATCAAAAAGAGGGGTGGTCCGAAGGGTAAACCCCCCACCCCTGGGGACGTCTGCGTTGACCTCTAGGGCTCCAGGGGACTGGCCACTGATAGAGTGTTAATAAATGAGGTTGTTGTCATGGTACGCCATGACAACAACCTCATTTATTAACACTCTACCTTGAATGGCTCTTAGGCCTTGTAAGGATATGAACAATAGAAAAACATAGCAACAACCTGAATAAAAGTCTCTGAAAGAACGACTGATTATTTTTGTTGAAGAACCTATTCAAAATGACACCAACTCACTGCTCATGGTAATTGCAATCACCAATCCAATAGTCTAGAGATCAAATGGCAATCATTTATAATATGCAACTCTTGCTCCCTCCCTGAGGAAGCAAGAGTTACATATTTTGAGGATATGTAGGATAAGCAACAGTTGACCTTCAATGTGAAGATGTTAAGATTGTAATGATTGGGGAAGCATCTTCTCCGGAGTTTGTTCCACGATGCGACAGTTTTAAACTTCAGAAGATTTAAATAGATTTTCTATTTTTCTGTTAACTGAAGTGTTTTTCGGCCTCATCTTCTCTAACCTTACATTATCATGAGAACATTTGGGTGGTTCTCTTTTTTATACCAGTTAAATATAAAATGAGGCATTTTCCTTGAAATAATAATTTGCAAGTTTACCCCACAATGAATTGATAATAGGCTAGATAGATCCTTACTGTTATAATATTCTGATCTTGTGATAGACGATACTGGGTCTAGTAGATATGCGCACAAATTATATATATATATATATATATATATATATATATATATATATATATATGTATGTTTAAGAATTTGCCGAAATTGTGTGTAATGTTCCGAGTACTTTCAAGGGAAGAAGGTGAAATCGAGAGAATGGAGCGATGCGAACTGGCCGGAGTTTGAATTTTAAGTTCCTGTACAAATTTCTACCGGGCATTAGACAATTTTGGAGCACCGGAAAGAATCTCTAAAACACTTGACAAACATTCCTTGTCTGTCATATTGAATATCGCACACACACGCACGCTAGCACATACAGACACACACACATATATATATATATATACGTTTTTACTAGAATTCACGAGAATCACTTAAAACAGAAGGCTACTGTTAACATGGAAATAATGAATGAGGTGCTTGATATGAATAAGAGGAAATGGTAGGAAGTGGAGATTATGAGAATATGCAGGATAGATAACTATTGACCCTCAACTTGAAGAAGGTAAGTGACAGTTCTTGACAAAAAGTTGTCCGTAAAAATAGCATGGCGTATCCTAGCTGTAAAGGTCTGAACTGTTAAAACTGAAGAGTATAGATCGTCTGAACATTTGATACAGAGTAACGATATGCTTGTAAGGTTGCGTCTGTGGGAAAGCGGAGAGAGGAATAAGTTTTTCTCCTCCCCCAAAACAGTGTAAACGATTTTGAACTCTATCAAGGGTTGAGTAACATTATTAGTTTATAGCTGCTCTGACGTTAAAAAAACAAAAACGACGACGTTATATTACTAATAGGCTATTCTAATTTAGAAAATATAAGATTCTATTCCCGGTAGGGGAGCGATCTACCAGGTGTCGCAGTCGTTATGTGGTTATAACTATCCAGGTACGATACAGAGCTGTCCAAAACTGAGTAATGTTTGTCGCGTGTGGCTGCAGGAAATTAATGAAGTCCCATACACGCTCAAGGGGTTTTAAATCTGGTGAGCGTAGGGGTGTCACTGAGTAGAGAGTGCCCCATCTGTTCGTTACTAACAACCACCATTCCACAGTAAAACAATATTAAATCTTGTTCGCGTCCCATGGCTGCCATAACTACACAACCACAGCTACACTACTTTTTACCGACTATGTCACACATTAGGCATACAGTTAAGCTCATTTGTACAGGTGGGGAAAGGTGAAACTATCCAGTGTCTTTCTAATTCTAATTTATGGTTAATTTAGTTTCAATTAAAAGAAAATCTTTGGGTTAAAAAGTTCAATTTTAGAATCACAAAAATTATTGGACTAAAATGTCCAGTTTTCTGACAAAAGAAAATCGTTGGGCTTTTTTAAGTTCAATTTTAGAATCAAGAAAATTATTGGACTAAAATGTCGAATTTTTCAATCAAAGGAAAATTATTGGACTAAAAAGTTCAATTTTAGTATCACAAGAAAAAACTGTCCAATTTTTTCATCAAAAGAAAAATATTGGACTAAAAAGTTCCATTTTACGTTCAGAATAAGATTATTGGACTAAAAAGTTCCAATTTTTCTATTAAAAGAAAGATTTGTTTCGATTAAAAGAAAGAAACCAAGTTCGGCATTATTTAGTGTACATTATTTAGTTACTTTAATTCATTAATGCCCTAGTTTCATTCTTGGAACCGTTTTCATTAATAGGCTATAGGCAGGGCCTATAATTAATACTATATTTGACTTATAAACCTTTTCTGGATATATACATATAATACAGAATTTTTATAAACCTATATTTAATATTGGATACTTTTAGAAGCCTATAATTAATACAGCATTTTAATTTTCATATTTTTACATTAGGCATTAATGAATCAATAAGCGTAAGTCTGGCATAAGACAACAACAATTAGGCACTTTTGAGGATGAAAATCACTACATAAATAATCAAGAAAGCGATCTTAAAATAAAAGCCTACATTGTGTCTCGATCAAGTCAACATTTGTATTCGGTAAAATGTGGACAACTCCGCGGTAGGGATCAGTATTCACGCTTATAGAAACCCACTTTCACATGGTTATATGCTATGTGCTAATCTAATGGATGCTGTAAGTATTAGCGTGTGTATTTCAAATTCTCTTTCATGATTCAAGATTGAAATCAGAACATTGTCTTCCTCTGAAACCTTGACTTTTCTGTTTCTCTGAGGTTTCTGCAATAGTAATACTTAGTAACGCTAGAGGGTTCTTACAGACAGACTATTGACAAACTCTATTCCAGCGTGATCACTAAAATCCGTCGATATTTTTGGATTTATTTCATCTTGGTCCTTTCAGAATTAGAGCCTATAAATGTTAAACCGTCATGAAGAAACAACACTACGGGTAGAAGCCAGCGATCTGACAGTTGGCTTTTGCAATGAGCTTTCGCGTCTAATGCTCGATAAGTTGTTCCATTTCCCTCCCCACTAGCAGCGTGTTTCTATTGTTGGCGCACGTATTCCCTCCCGTGGTTGAAGATGGTGGATCAGAATTCCAGCTCGCCTTTATCTTCGCCGAGGGACGCCACTCGGCGTCTTATCGTTTATTCTCCACCTGTCCGCCTCCGACTCTTCTTCCGCTTCTGCACTTAGTATTGTTACCGCATTCTGGCAAAGTGCTCGCCTTTTCTTCTGTTTTGGTCATCAGCAAGAAGCCATGTAATATCTATTATCTATCTTTCCTCGGCCCGCTCGCTTCACTTTTGAATTTTTTTTTTTTTTATATTTTAATCTCTTTTTATCCAATCTATTTTCTTTTGCCTCTTTATTTTTAGATTTCTCTTTCATTTACTTTCTATTTCTTTCTTTCTTTGAGTAACTTTATTTTTGTCTTGTTTTTAAATCCTTCTTTACTAATTATTGTTTTCTTCTTTTTTTCGTTGTCTTCTTTCCATCTTTCTTTCACAACAATGTTCGTCTTTCATGACCATTTTTACCCTTTCTTTCTTTCTTTCTTTTCTCTATATTTCTTAATTGTCGTTTACCACTTGTTTTCTTGATCCTTCTTTTCTTGAAACTATATTTCTCTTTTCTTATGCCTCATTTATGACGCTTTCTTCTTTTCTTTAGTTCCATCTTGATATTTCTTTCGTTCGTTTTTTCTTTCTCAGATGATATTTTCACGTTCTTAACTGATTTCTACAATTTCTTGTTTTCTTTCGTATGCTATTGATTTATTTTTCGTTAATTGTTTATTTTTAATTTATTATTTGATTGTAACTCGACACTATTCTTTTCTTTCGTATTTTTGAAAGCATTTGACTTCATATTCTGTCCATTTTTTTAACCTTTGTCGTTTCTGCCAATTCTTTTTTTTTTCGCATTTAATGCGCATGCAACAACTTTAACTTATTTCATATCTTTCTTCGACATTATCATTTTAAAAAAATTCTCTCTTTCCATCTGTCTTCTGGTTTTTGCATCAAAGTTTGGATCAAGAATGAGGTCCTTCTTAGTACAGACGTTTTTTTTTTAAAATAGCTTTTAAAAATCGGTGTCAATCCTTTATATCTGCCGGAAAATACACTTGAAGGTCCGCAAAAAAACATTACCATATGGCCATTGTTACATTTACAAAAACAACAACGTGTACGTGTATGTTTGATAAGGATAAAAAAGAGAACTCAAAACATTTACTTATTTTAGCTAAGTCTGAATTCTAATTGGAGGTTAATGTTCAAATGTTTGCAGATGATTTACCTGACATAAACTTCAACACTGGAAGCCTAGATTTTACTTGGATCGAACGCAGACTTCTGTTGAAAATCTTTATGTATAAGTGTATATATATATATTTGCATTTGAGTGTATACGTGCCTGTACATTTGTGATTCCGTGTGTGAATGCGTATGTACGAAGTACTACTAAAGACATTTCCATAACCCCGACTTTCCAAAATCACTTTCGAAGTAGTTCGCCTTAAGACAGTACGCCGACTAATTTTTGAATAGTTGAATGATGGCTAATTCCACTAATCTTGTCATGTCATACCCTGCCACTTCTGTTTGGCTAATGGCCAGGGTATATAGATGGTCAGTGATATCGGGATCGCTCGATTTGAGTAGTCAAGTCGAAGTTTTTTTTTGTGCGTGACAAACGTAGAACACAGATGTTACAGTTGAAGTAATCAAAAATTTTATATTTTAATTATTATTACAATATCTATAGAAAACAAACACGTTCTCGGAAAACAAGTGGTGTTCAATCCAAGTAGAGAACAGTTCATCACAACCATCGCTACATATATGACACTTGTGAAAGGTAGAAGGAAAAGTCTATACTATGTTTCGAGCGTACTGTTCTAATTCTTTGAACCTTTGAGCAGTAACTCTTGCATATTTATGAGTAATCCGGTATCTAATTATATGTGTTTACAAATGTGTCGATGTGTGAGTATCTACCTGTGTATACTTTTTAAGGCTTTTGCATTACTTTTAACCAAATGTTTTCTTTGATGTATACATTGTTTTAAAAAAAAAATGCATAAGGGATTTTGATAGGAAAACAATCGAAGAGTAGACTGGGCTATTCGAAGAAGATAGACTTCGCTAACCAGCATGCATTTTTAACTATTGATCTGAGAGAACGGTTGTATGCAGATGACAGTTTAGAAAATATAACATAACAATGATAAGGTATATATATATATATATATATATATATATATATTAGTTAAAAAAATCCCTGCGTAAGTAATCCAAGTAGATCCTATTAATATGAAATATTAAAACTGATCCTCAAAAGAGTGCTCAATATAATTTTTATTATAGAGCATAAAAGTGAATTACAATTAATGAGATTCAAATGAATTACCTCATACAGATGATCATTTCGTCCAGGGGAAAGTAGTTTTTCTTTGGATTTATCAATGCAAATACATTTACCAAAATGAATAAAATGCTGTATCAAATTTAGTAAATTTAGTAAATTGTTTGGATCTCATTAATTGTAAAACAACCACACACACACACACACACACACACACACACACACACATATATATATATATATACATACAGATATATACATATATATATATATAGAGAAAGAGAGAAAGAGAGAGAAATAGATATTATACAATCCCACATAAAATATATTTCACCACTGGATATTTTATCGTAAAGTGTGTCGAAAACATTTAATATGCGTACAAAATCTCAGATTGGTAAAGATTAAAAACAGAAATTGAAAATTCTGAGTTGTCTTGAAATTTTTTTCTTACATCTTTCAAAGGAACCTTTTCTTGAGAAACGGAACTAAATGTAAAGCGTCTTTCGTTCCCTAAGCAATCATGAGACAATTACCATCACAACCACATATTTTAACTATGTTCATGATAAAAAAAGATAGTACCATTTACCGAACTGTATAAAATACTTATGGTGGTGTAATGGATAGCGGCTCGGATTGAGGAATCTGAGAACCGAGTTCGAATTCTAGAGGAATCCATTACATTCGCTAATGCTCTTGGGAAATGTATGAATGCTCTTCTTTTCCTCCCAGCTATGGGTAAATAGTAGGACAGACCGGGTTCTATAGCCTTGGGTGGCAACTGGTCTACCGCAGAAGGAAATGGCAACCTAATGCGGGAAAAAAATCTGCCTCTTTCGATACACGACTGACATAACTGAGTGTCCTTAGACAATGTCGAAAAAGAAAAAAGTAAATTCTATCTCCACCTGCGGCAGATTATACAACTCACACTTCTTAAGAATCTTATGTGTAGGCGCCAATATATTTATAGGAATATATTCCTGGAGTTCGATTCTTGTTTGAGGCTCAACTACTGTATTCTTATATATTGCAGGCTGAGAAAAATCTGTTACCACGATAAAGATTTTCGTCATATTTTCTAAACCAAAATTAAATTTGGTCATATAATTAATGAAGATGTGTCTGGCTTGCGTGGTTTGTGCTACGTATACATACACGCGAGCGCGTGCGCATGCGCGTGCATCCACATGCGCACAAACTTACGTGTGTGTATGTTCTCGTGTTTCTGTACAAAACATGAAACTTTAAATTTATTTGTAAGTGTGAGAAAAGTTGTATAAAAACTCGACGAAATAGTAAATAAATGTTTAAATAAATACATACATAGTTAAAAGTAAGTAAGTAAAACAACAAAAAAAAAAAAACATTTAGAAATCTTCGTCGATGCATCAATTTTTGTAATAAAATTCTTTTTTCTGATGACGCCGGTTCATTGGTGAAACATCTTCAAGTAAACGTTTTGCAAATTGTTGTATATTTACTATTTGGAAGTATCCGCATTGTTGGGCTTTTTAGATTTTACAAATGCATAAGCAGAATAAAATATTATGAAAACCAAGTATATGACTAAGAGGCTCAGGGACTTACGAACTTTGTTTAAAAAATAACTAGTTTAAAAACTAAAAGGATTTTTTTCTATTCGGGAAATAATATTCTTTTATTTTTTGTTGTAAATCGTTGCTCGTCATTTCTGGCTGCTATTCAGAGAGCTGCAAGCCTTGTGTTTGGTACTGATACCGAAGCACTTGTATTTTGGAAATGATTTGCAAGTTGCTCTGACAACACGTTGAAACTGCATAAGAGTTTCAAGTTGAAATTGCATAAGAGCGTGGCCTTGTGTCGAATTTAGTTCTGTTCAATAGATAACAAAGGCATGAGAATCGACAGTTGAAGAATGGGGATAAGAAGGTCAGCTCCATTATAATGTTGGACATCTGGTCTTCATTTGACAGACAATGGCACTGAGTAAACTTTGGAAAATAATGATATTAGATGACCGAAATAGAAAAGAAGCAAAACTAATTCATTCTGTATTGTTCGCATGGCCGTAAGAAGAATGGAAAACACAATACGGTTTGAACAAAAGTCGAGTCGCGCAACATTTGTTTGTTGGCATTTTATGAGCCATTGTAGAATCTAGTCATATATATATATATATATATATATATATATATATATATTATAAACTAGCATTATAAGTTGTAGATTGTATACTGGCGTTAAAATGCCAATGAAGTTGTGTACGAAAGTACTCAGCGCACTCTATTTTGAAAAGAGATTTCATAAACAGCTGGAATATATCGAATATTAAACTGAACATTTCAGATTAAAATTCATACTTAACTATGTCATGGCACAAACTTATTGATCCAGCCTCATATATAGGTACGAAGGGAATATGAGGAAATAGGCTCCTTAACAGAAATAAAATGTTCTTTATTTTCTATATAGTTGTTGTTTTGAATAGTGGCCAATAGAGAACAAATTGTTGTGGGACAAGATCTTAAAAAATGTAATAAATTGCCAAAAGAATGGTCTTCAAATTTTTGATGGCAGTCATTAAAAACGCATAAAATATTTAATCAAAGAATTAATTAACGAAGTTACTTTCAGTGCCTAATATAAGAGAAGTTCATTTTTTTTTTCGCGGGGAAATTTTCCGACCTCCTAGAGCTTATTACGACTACCTCATTTATGAATTTCGTACAATTTGATTATTTAATTGATTTATTTTATTAAGACCTTATTTATTGCATATTGAGAAAAATCTCGACGCCCCAGTTATGGAGACCCCTCCCCAATTTCTATTAGGCATTTAAGAGCATGTTTACTAACATAGAACCCGTAAAAAATGTCAAGCTTATTTATGATCGGAGCGGCACTTATACCTATGATCAGAGTATCTGTACTCTCTGCCTAGGCTTAGAGTTTAGTATCTGTAGGGGAAGCTTTATTTAATAGATTTTTTTCTTTTGGTGCGAGACAGACATCTTACGTAGGGAGGTAGGTAGATACTACGGTATAATATAGATTAACAAAGTATAAGTATTTAATTTAAAATGTTGAATTTAGTGGAGAATATTAAAGATTAGAGATTGGGTTTTGTCCTGTAAAGTTAACTATGATCATAATGTTTAGTATGAATTTAGTTTTATGTCTGTTCAAGAATTGTGGTCGGGCAGGTTGATTTGGAATTGAGAAAAAGGAAAACTGTTTAAAACTATCT